TCTGAACTCTGAGGCGGGGCTGTGTGTATGCATTAGTAAGCAGAGAAAACCGGTTTAGCTGACCATTACTTCATCATGTCAGTAAGCTAAGTGAAATAAGTATGAGCTTCGTTAGAAAAACAGAAACACGTTTTTATTAGATATGATGTGTTTTATTCAGTCAGTACATTTACATGGTTATGTTACATATTCTTTGCTGTGTAACTGCCGTTGTGTTGCTTGCATTGTATTAGTTGTTATCTGATTTGTGAAGTAGCAAAGACATGCAGAATATTGGCCTACAGAAATGACAGACAAATGGAGCCGTATTATCTGTCAGTTTATAGGTCAATTTCCTGTATACCACCTCTGAACGGTGATTTTAATCCTCTTCCAGTGTTAGATCCTTTTGGTGATCTAACAAATTTCAGACAACTGATATTCTTAATTATTTGTCAGTTTTATAAAACAAGATGAAATGTTATCCCTTTTTCCTCCTGAATCAAACAAATGAGAATCAAGTGGCCCCCATTTTCTATCTTTCTTTGTTATGCCTTTATACTGTAGCAAGTTGGTAACCATCAAAAGTAACAGCATCTCCACTGGAAATTGGCACATAGTCCATATGGAGTTGCTGTTACACTTGATGACTCCATCGCACACACCAGAAGGCTCCTTCTGCTTTTCTTCATGAAAGCCTGTATGTTACCTCCAAATATACTTGTAGAAGATCTTGATTTCTTCATGTTCTAAATAAGATTTGAAACTCTGATGTTTAATTTTGATTTGAATTAATCTTGCTTGCATTTCCTTTTCATATTTGTGTTTTCTCAAAAAATAATTCCATTTCTGATTTTAATATCATTGGTCATTTTCTGAATCTGTAATATGATACCATTATAATCTAGGTTGAAATCTGTTCCTAGTTACTTAAAAACAAAATAAATAATTTTTAGCATAAAAAAGATAAACTTTGGAAACATTGGCTACCTAGAAGGGGAAAGTTGGTTAAATTTCTTTCAGCATTTCAGATGATTGTTATGAACTTCATGACATTAGTGCAATTGTGTTTAGAAAACTTAGGCCCGACTTCA